ATATTAATTCATGGCTGGTTGTTTGTTCAGACTTTCACATAAATATAGCCAAAGATTACAAGGCTGAACCTTCTCAACTTTGTCAGTCGCATTCACGTTCCCATTTTTAGTGTGCTGCCCTGCAGGACAATACGGCAAAGAATGTTCGAAGTGCCCAGGTCTAGAGCAGTCAGGAATGGCTTGTTACGGTCATGGGAAATGTGATGTATGTTTTATCTGCACTTTTGTTTTGTCTTTTTTTTTATTTTTCTCAGGAATTAAAGTTGAAGCATTTTTTGAAGATTTCTTCAATCTTTAAGGTTGAATGGGGCTATCTAGAAGGTAATTTGGGTGTGTCCACGGCGGGATTTTTCTGGAACGATTCTCAATGTTCTCCTTATTGTTAGTAAAAAAAGTAGAACTTAGAACAACCAATCACGAGAACAAACAAACTGGATTCTGGTACTGCCAACAATATTTGTGATTACATTCAGGGTGACGGGAGCAGACAAGGAAGTGGAAAATGCAAATGTGATATCGGTTACTCCGGAAATATGTGTAGGCAGTGCGCTCCCGACTACTTCGAGAAGGCGAAGACGAGCAATTCTGTGGAATGTGAAAGTAATACTTCGATTTGTCGGTTTTCTATTTAAACTCGTAAGAAAAGAGCTATTTCAAAGCGGCCACTTGATGAAGCGTCAAGTGGCAGTCAAAAAGAGCTCTCTGTGAATTTGAGCAGAGGATAAATATTTACATTTGCAAATATGTTTCTGCCACTTATCATCAAAGTGGATTGCCTGGTTCTTTGATGCTGTATTTTTATAGAATGTTCGGAAGCGTGCGCTGGTGGATGTACAGGGGCTGGTGCAAACAACTGCGTAAGATGCCGGAGCGGTTGGTCTAACTCTACTGGAGAGGGATGTTTAGGTGCAGTAATTTTTTCGATATTCTTCTTTATACCACTTCGAATAAACCGTGAAATTGGTGTAATGGCCTCCGTTTCAGACATAAACGAGTGCGAAGATGAAGGCAAATGTTCGAAAGCGAACGAAAAATGTGTCAACACACCTGGTTCATTCGAATGTCAATGTGTCGATGGATACAAGAGAGAGGGGTCGGAATGCGTATTGGATGTTGAAGGTAAGGAATTGATAAATAGTAAGGAAGTGTAACCACCATTACTTTGTGGTACTTAAAAGGACTAGGATAAATATATAGCAAAACTATTCGATCCGATCAGCTGCAGTGTACTTGAAATCGTAAGATTTTGTGGATTGCGTGAGAAGCTAGATGGCATTGTGATATGCACTAAGCCATCAAATCGTTTTGTCATTCTTATATCCTGTGACTTTTGCTCGATTTTTTTTTTCTGACATCCCTATATCAAAGGTTACCATACCATACAGATGAACTACTGAGGAACTCAGCTCGGAAGAGCTTTGTTCCGCAAAGGTCATGGAATCGTTGTTAAGAATTCGTGATTTTTCACAGGGTTGAGTTGCAGAGGAGCTAGCATTCTGTCCACAAGAGTCCGTTAGAAATTGGATAATGGTCAGTCTACAGGTTACGTTGCTCTATGAGGGTGTAGTCACAGTTTTAGATACGTGGTCATAGTCCATATATCGGGAGACTCTCGATAAATTTCGAGACATCTCAATCATTCTCATAGTAGGCCGTTTAAGCGAAAAGACTTTGAGACTCGTCATTTAGTTGTAAAACATATTTGTGCAGCTGAAAAAAAATATATTTGAAAGGAGCAGGGTTCAGACACTCAATATGTAACCGGCCTTGCTTTTGAATTGAATAATTTTAAAAAATGAAATAGTGGAGCATTTTGTGATAAGGCTCTGAATGACCGTTCCGCTCATATCTTGGAAACTGGGGGAGGTAAAAGCATCGGTTAGTCGCGTCAATTGTGGTAGCGTTGAATTTAAATGCTGTACCATACTGCACAACTACTGTAAGTCGGTGAAAATTTCAGCGAAACCGTATCGTATGCTGATACCACCGGACATACTTCTGAAGGCGATTTCTATGACGAGTTTGGCGATAATCATTGCGTTTGTGGTCTGGCGTCGTTCTATCCCACTTCTAATCCTTTCGGGCATTGCCGTTGTGCTTATCATCTATATAGACATGAATGTCAATCCAGAAACAGTTCCGGACGAGGCAAAGAAATATCTGGGATTATAGTGATTTTAGAATAGCTTTTTTAGAGGAAAGTATCCTATTACTATGGGTATTTATGATTGTAACTCAGTGGCTAATGAAGTTGTATTTTACCGGGTGTCATTCAATTCGTGTTAACCATTTCGTCAAGGCACAAACCACTGATGTTTGCCTTCCCTTCTTGAACACGATTGTTACTTTTCCCAGCCATTAGTAGGCAGGTATATTAGATCGTTGCTATGTTTTCAAACTTGTGTAGGCCCCTGCGAATTAGATAGGATGGTTTTTTCGCTCATCTGATTCTGAAAACTGTAGCACTGTATTTGCTTGGCCATTGATGTGCTTCTTTATCGTTACTTGTTACCACCTAGATCATCTGGCTCTCGCTTCACTCTTCTTCTCCCTTTGACAAAGTCGTAATGCTCGTTTAGCGCGCCATTTCTCATTTTGGAGTACATAAAGTTTTGATCGTAAATTTCCTGAAGAGCAAGCAATGTCCGGATTTATGCGTACCCTGCAGATTTAACACAAGCAGGGAAGTTTGGCATAAACAGAACATACGACTGCCATTGATCAAGCATATGGTCACGAAGTCTCGGTCATTGTTCTTGATCCTAAAGGGTGTGGTAACTTGAAAGGTATGAATTTCCACTAGAGGGACGAGGTGGTCGCCGCGGAACTGAAGCCGCTTATAACGGGAAATCGGGGAGAAGTACCTGATCCTGAAATCGCCTCTCGAGGATCCATTGGTGGCGCCTACTACCAAATAATTTTTCTAATATAGAGTGATCTGATTAGTGAGTTGAAACCTTAAATAGAACTTTCTAATGTTGTCAGTTGATGATGACACAATTATCGGAAGGCCTTGAACATGGCCTAGGTCGGATACGTTTCGAAGCATCTGACATTGGAATAATGAGAAAACGTGGTCTCATATCTAGTCACGAATGCTAGTAGTTGAAATCTAACTGCTTTTATCTTTTATTTTTTAAAAGTCTGTTCTATTATCCAAACTCTCCACAAAAAAGGGTATTTTCAATGCTACATCGTAAATATCGAAGAGAACTAGAGGGCTCACGTCTTATACTATCAGCGTTTATCACAAACCCAGTATATTGCTCTTCAATGCCCCTTCTCAGCCCCTATCGCTTGTTATCAACCCCTGTCACTAACCATCTGAGATCCCGTTACCTCTAATTCGACGCGCCAAATGGGCAAAGTTTCTGTTGAAAGCGTGTGCATAACAGACTTGAGATCCTCGTCTTCATTTGCCCCTCATCAGCTCTTATTAGTTGTTATCAGTTTCCTTTGTCAATCATTTAGAAGATTGTCGCATCCCACGTCACATACTATGGTGACAGGGCTCTAATGTCAAAGCGAGAGAACAAATTCCCCGTATTTTGCTTCCAAGGACTCTTTATCGGCCTCATGTTATCACTCCTATCACTTACTAGCAATGTTGCCACCATGCCGCTCGTAATCCTTTCTGTAGGTCCATGGGAACGGGAGCTGCCAATTTTCAGTCATTCACAGCACGGGCCCACCAACACGCGCTTAGCAAATTACATTTATTTAGTCTGATTAGCTTTATGGATAGGATATAACACTGACCCACGCGAAATCCCGAAGCGAATAAAGATTATACGATTTTACATAGTTTTCGTCATTGCTACCTTCTAACCATTTGTGCTTCACCTTGCTTCTTGAGCGGTACCTTTAGGTAGTACAACTCTCATCAAGGTTCCTTGCTGTTGAGCTATAAACGAGTGTATAGATGTCAAGGCTGACCTCATATCGCTTCCGTCTTTAGCGAGACATGTATAAACGTATACAACAGAAAGTCAAGAATACCACCGCTAGATGATGCTTATTCTGTTCTTTGAAACTGCCGACTCCCAACTTAGGTCGGTCTTATCATTCAGGCAAGGAGCGAAACCTCATCATTTCATCTAGTCAGGACAAATGTAGAAGCTGCCGGTTTCACTTTTTGTGTCTATGAGAAATATAGTGGATAGCTTTTGATTTTTAAAAAAAGGGAAAGCGGAAGAGTTCTGTCTAAGTGACTTCGAAGTATGGTTGCGTCAACGTTGTGTTACAGCTCAAAAACCATCTGATAATGAAGAAGTAGATGACGAGGACGGCAGTGATGATGATGATGACGAAGATTCTCCTTCCTTCAAAACCGAGCTTTGATCTCATGTGCCCAATCTGCAACTACGATTCTGCGCAAGATGCAATAAACTCAGCAACAAGGTTGTATACAACTACGGTTGTGCTTTACAACAATCCAGAGCATATCTCTGGCAGGTCTCAGTCAATTGGTCAATGCTGTTGTGATATGTCTTTGTATTAATACGTGGGTTTGCTGATCAATGTCATTTAAATAGGGTGTCATTTGATAATAAATTATTTCCATTTGATTAAGAATCTTGATAACAGTTTACCCCGAAGACAGTGATCTAGGAGTTACAGACAGGCTTATCGCCATTGAAGTTTCGCCAAGAAAAATTTTTGAGACCTTTCGTCATCACGATTATGTTGTGCATCCAAAGCATGGATGTTTCAGTGTACCAGTGTGAACATATGAGCAAACACAATGAAGTACAATGCTATCAAAATTGTGTAACTGAAAGTGACGGTGAAAGGGGAAGAATGTATTATGGCATCAATGAATACTGTAGTCACAATAGGAGAAAACATATGTAAATGTTTGGGA